AAAAACAAAAAATAAAATAAAATAAATAACAAATAAAATGCCAACAATTTTTGTGTGTATTGTATGTTAATATGCAGTAATGTATAGTAAAAAACAATATGTTTTTTTTAATATACAATATATATATATATATAGTGTGTGTGATTAGAGAGAGAGAGAGAGAGAGAGAGAGAGAGAGAGAGAGAGAGAGAGWGATAAACGAGATTTATATTGATTTACTAATCATTTTTTTAGTGCACAATATTATTATTATTATTATTATTAGTACAGTATATACTGTTAGTATTGTATTTAATGTATTACTATATTATGAAATTGTATACAAAAAAAACTGATTATTGACTGATTTGTATTCATTGAATATACAGTAATAATCACAGATTAATCTCTATATTAGTAGTGAGAAAAAAAATATAATAAATAATAATAAAAAATAATATAAATAAATGTTATAATGTTTGTTATAATGTTGTGTTGCATTATATATATAGTATATATAGTTAGCTATTAATTAATTTATTTTTAATTTGATTTAAATCATGGATTTAATCAATTGATGGATAATTTATATCATTATATTAATATATATACAGTATATTTATTTATTTCACTATAAATATATTCAATTTATATATAAATTTTTTTAATAAGATATCATTGATTTTACTTTCTATCAACAAAAAAAAATTTATTAAAAATTTTCCAAAAAATATATATTGATAATATTAATATAATAAATGTAAAAATTAACTGATTGATCAATATAAAAATTTTAATCAAAAAATATTTATTTTTTTAGATAAACCAAAAATAAAATTATTATTATTATTACCAATATTTTTACTTTTAATCAAAAAAAAAAAAAAAATTTTCAGTGGTTTTAAATTATATGCAAATTATAAACACCAAAAAAAAAAAAAAAAAAAAAAAAAWAGTCTATAGATAGCTACCTATGATCGATGTGTTTATAATAATATGATTTTATTTTATTTTTATATAAAATAATATATCATATTTTATACAGTAATTTATTACTGTATATATATATATATATATATATACAGTATATATTACATAAAATAAATATCTATAAAAAAAATAATAATAAATTAAATGATATACTTTACCAATAGGTCCAATGAACTTTTTTTTTGGTTATTTATTTAGTTACCAAGGTTATTATTTATATATTATTATTAGTATTAATCGTAGTATTAAATGTGATCTTTAAACATATATGTCTATTAAATTTAATACAAAAATTAAATACTATATCTAACCAAACAAAAATAACAACAAAAAAAATTATATAATACAGGTGTCGATGATATATGATATTTGAATTTATAGTTTAGGGATATTTGATATGATTTTTTTCAGTGGGTTTTCATTTAATTTAAATACAATAAGTCATTGCCTATCAAATTATACTTCAATATATATATATATATAATTTAAATTTATATATATATTATATAATTAAATAAATTTAACTTGTACACATTTATAATTGAATAAGATTTTTAATTAATTAATTAAATTACTAACAATTTTTTTAATAATAATTTAATTTAAGCAATTTATGAAATAAAAAAATTAAATTATTTTTCTTAAAAAAATTTTGTTTAAATTATTAAAGTATGCTTAAACTAATTAGTTTTTTAAGACTATATAATATTTTTTTACACATAAAAATAATAATAATTAAATTAAAAATGTTACGAAATTTATATTTTTTTAAAAATTAATGTACAAATAATTTGATTATTTGTTTTTTTTATTATATATGTTTTAGATTTTGATGTAAAATAATGTTTTTAATTGCTTTTTTTAATTTAAATTTTAGATAATAAAAAAATAAATACACCCACACATACTCACTATTATTATTATTTGATAAAATTATATTACATTATATACAGTATATAAGCATAACATTTAAACAATAAGTTTATTTATTTATTTTCAACAACAAAAAATCACACTTTTATTTTATCCCAGTGTGTCATCAAATTGTTAGTATATATAAGCCATTGAAAACAAAACAATAATTGTTTTTAAAACAAACAATATATATATATATATATATAATAAATTTGATTTACTAAATGCACACAAACAAACAATTTAACCATAAATTTATTTTTTTTTCATAAAAATATTTTTTATATATACATATACTTTATATACAGTATATATATATATATATATTGTGTTCAAAATATTTTTTTGTTAGTTTTTACGAAAATTAAGTTTTATATATATATATATATATTTATTAAATATATTGAATTCATTGTCTGATATGAAACTCCTATATAACACACACACACACTTAGAGAGTACAGTATATATTGATATATATATATATATATATATATATACAGTATATATATACAGTATATATATAATATAAATACAATTTTATTGATGACATATTTATCACTCGCCGATTGAATTGAAAATATATCCCATGAGAGGCTAGTCTTCAATAATATAA